TTTAAATAATAATTTCGAGTACAGTCCATTAAATTAATAACCCATCAGCATCTATGTGAGAAAATATATGTTTCAACATCACTTCCTATTATATTTAAATTATTTCTTTGTTCTTTTTTCAAATAAACAGCTAGAATGAATGAATTTAATATAAGAATCGGTGTGTTTCTTTTTCTTTGTGTAGAAATACTCATGATTAAGCATATATACATGTTATTACCACACTTAAGAAGTTGCCAACCTCTGTTTTAGAATATTGTACTTATATTTTTGAGTCATTTATTTGAAAAACATTTGACTAAAACTTAGTTATATTATTAATTACTAGTATATCAATTTATATTTGTTCGTACGATTTATACCGAACTGAGCAAACTATGAACCTATACAAGCTGCCCTTATTCAAGAAACATTTTAAGAAAATCAACACTTTTATTCAATTCCTACTATTATAGTACACACTCTCTTTAAATGTATTTTTTATGTATTTTGTTTAAATTTTTAGTCGTTAATAAAATACTTTTTATTCGTCCACTCAAGTTTAAATGCTTTTTTGGAACTTGTAATGGGTGTCACTTGATGTCAATACTGTTTTTTTTCAAATATTAATTCATCAATTAAGTTCAATTAATTAATTATAAAAGAGATACATTTCAGTCGATATTATTCCTCTAGATGGCAGCACAATTGAATAAAATAGTTTTGTTAAATTTGTGATGAACATTTAACTTAACCTGTGAATACTCATGTGCTAGTAAGACGTCAGCATTCCTTTTACACTAGTTTTAAGATAAATTCTTACCTATTATATTCAACTTTTATTAAAATATGTAATTACAAATTTAAAGTGGTTGAAAAATTTTTAATGTTAATTTAAAAGGCGTTCTGCCACTTAATATTGTGATTCTTTCATACGTATATATACATATTTATATTAATTGTAATTCTTAAATAAAGTGTAACTAAAATAAAAATTTTCTTTGTTGATCTAAGTAGGAATTAACTTACTATTTATTAATATTACTTGTTTTACTAATCAGTTTCCTAGCAACAGATTGTTTAAGCGAAGAGAGCTGTCAAATACTAACATAAATATTAATAATAATGCTTAAACTACTCGGCTATCCTTATTAAAACTCCCATGGCTTCCATTATTACACCTCTGACTCCAGTCTCAGCCTGACGACCATCGACTCCCTCTCTCTCTTCGCTTTTGTCTTTAAATAACAAATTACATTTGCATAAATTACAGTTCCACTACAGAAAGCTATTTTATAGTCATATAACAGTTAAAAAGATATTCTACAGAAGATTAAAGAACGACGTGTATAATGCTTGTTACAAAGTAATTCAAAAATTAAAAACAAGAAACGATAAGAAAATATTCGTCTTGCAAAATGCAGTTTCTTTTAAGCAATATATATTTTACCTAAATCTTATTTTGCTTTAAAAAAAAAAGGAAATTGTAAGTAATCGTCTTGTAGTCTGTAGAATAAGAGCATTACTCTAAAATATAGCAAATGAAACAGTGTATTAAATTGTAGCAATATAGGGACATTTTTAAGTCTTTCTTCTCGCATCACTTTTTGTTTCATTCCTTGTGTATATTTATATTCACTTACATATTACAGACACACACTCATTTATATATATATATATAGAGAGAGAGAGAGAGATCTATACAAGTATCCTTTCCAAAATTGTAAATGTTATGAAATCTATTTCAGAAAGAGAACAGTTTTATTTTCCTATTGATCTTTTTTGAGGATACTAGATAGAATTTTTTCTGTTTGAATTGGAAGATATCATTCTAGATTGGAGAGCTTCCAAAAACCCAAAAATATGAAAAGTGATTTTTTAAGACAAAGAAAACTTTGGAGACAAAAAAATGGAAAGTATTGTTTTATGGTTTATTCAAAAAGAAAGAATGATTTATCGATGAAATTGAGATTGATTGATTGAATTGAAACCGGCCATCCTCTTTTTTTTTATTTAAATTCTTCTTTATAACTAAAAAGAGAATACTTTTTTTTATCTATAACATTTGCCTAACCCCCTCCACTGTTATTTACCTTGGGGGTCGAATTCTAAAAAACCGTTCTTTGTGGATCTCTGTTCAACAAAAAGAACTTGCATACGAAATTTCAAAATTGTAGGTTTAATAATTGAAACACAGAAGGATTTTTTTTCATCTGAAACACCCTTGTAATTCTCCTTTGGTGTTAGGTTTTGCACTACTCGTTCTTAGAGCATCTTTACTTAAGGTATCCGACTACGTTCGGAACCGTGATTTTAAAAAAGCGCTTAAATGGATAATTTTCATGATATTTAGTGTCACTTAGATTAGAATACATATATAAAATTGATTTAAGGACATTTTGACAAAAAGAATTATTTAAATACAATATTTCGACAAAAAATTAACTTAGAATAATTTTTTTTCAAAATGTCCTACTTGTGAAAAATGCTTCTATTATAATCATATTTTGCCTGTATATAGCTCAGACCTCTCTACAGAGGCTCAACTAGAATGTTTGAAATATATAACTTAGAAGTGGGTTTATCCATGTTTTACGACAACAGAGGAGAGAAATTTTAAGAAAAAAACGCCAATAATTATTTAAATTGGTGGTAACTCTGAAAATAATGTGGATTTTTCAAAAATCATAGTTGAGCCTCTGTACAGAGGTCTGTGCTATTAACAGGCAAAATATTAATACAATAGAAGCATTTTTTACAAAAGGAGAACATTTGGAAAAAAAGATTATTCCAAGTTAATTTTTTGCCAAAATATTGTATTTAAATAATTCTTTTTTGTCAAAATGTCCTTAAAACAATTTTATACATGTATTCTAAACTAAGTGACACTAAATATCATGACAATTATCTATTTATGCGTTTTTTAAAATAACGGTTTCGAACGTAGTCGGATACCTTAACAAAAAAACCCATGTTTGCCAAATTTCAATTTATATGTCTAATAATTCAAAAACAGAAATTTTTAGTTTATAACCTCCCCTCCCCCACACACACGCAGCTCTCTCTGAAAATAGATTCCCGCAAAATTCGTTTTTGGCTGATCTCCACATTCACTGGAAAATCTATACCTTCCAAGTTTCAAATTATTTGGTCTAATAGTTCTGGAGATCTTGCGATGAGGGAGTGAGTCACTTTTTTCCTTTATATCTTTACATATAGAGATAAATGTGTGTGTGTATGTGTGCGTGTGTGTATGGGTACGTGCGTGCGTGTGAGTTTAAAAATGCATCATCTCAAGCATTGCGCAGGAAAGAAAAATATTTTAATTACTAATTATAAGAAGTCTCTTTGTACATGACAGCTTTTCTGATGGTTTAAAAAACTTTATATCGACCGGTACTATCGAAGGTCAATATTTAACGGGCATAATGTAGATGACATCAGCTGGAGGTTTAAACAATTGCGTTGTGGTGCGAATGGAACTCAATTATTAACCTCACGAGAGTGAAGCAATGAAGCGTATTGGTTAAATAAAAAGCTATTACTGTGTTGGTTATAAATATGCAAGTTGAAATGACACACAAAGAAATACATTATAAGGCACTCATTCGGGATAAGAAGTGATTGCACGAAAAGGAATTTATTAAACATTATAAAATAATATATCACTTTTCCAGTTAAATTTTATGCATTTACCTAAGTAACTAATTGTATATTTTTTTTTAATTTTGGAGTTCTTGAGAACTATTACTTAGTAAGAGATTTCAGTTTAAAGAAACATTCATTTAATTAAGACTACCAAAATTTATGCAGGATAAAATAGTAATTCTTTAAAAATATTATCATTTGCAATTCGTTACCGAACTTAAGCATTTTACAAGCAAGCTATTTGATTGTTTGTTTATTGAAGTTGCTTATAAAAGCAAGCAAATTGGTGCTAGATCCATTAATTTTGAAAGGTAGTCCATATAATGGTCAAAGTGATGAGAATAACGCCTAAGCTGCCATCATACTCCCCCCCCCTTCAATCCTCTAAACTACACCAATGTGATGACTTAGAGCATCGACAAATTTATAATGCATTAACCTCTCTACAACTATTTTCTTTAGTAGCATAAGGATGGACTGGATATGTGATATTCTCGCGATCATGACCTCCCGGCTATGGCGGCCAAAAAATGAAATTACATTTACTGTGCTTAGATTAATATTAAACATATTGCCCTTCAAAGTCGAAACTCCATTGAGATAATAATAGCATTTTTTTTTCGAAAATTTAGAGGTAAAATCAAGATGCGGCTCTCGAACTTCTGGGATTCTGAATCATCAAAATAGAAATCAATAATCATGAAATTTGTTCAATGTAAAATCCTCAAATAGTCATTCAAAGATTTAGCATTACAAGTTAGATTGAGTTGAAGATTATCCAAGGTATCTCTCAAATTATTTTCATACTCTGAGCTGAAGTCACAAATCATTAAATGAATTGATCTTCAAACATTAGTAAGGCTCCATATTCCCCAATTTAATTCTTTTAACAAAAGGAAAAAATAAATGATTCATTATTTTTCATAAGATCAATATAGTGAAAAAATGAGCTTCATTTGAGAACTATCTCTGAACAAAAAGAAGAAAAAATGATAAGCGGGTCTTACACGTGCATCGGGGGGAAAGTATTTAAAAAAAGTATGTGCGTACTTATGTACGCAAGTAAGAAGTTATACTTCTTTGTCGTAACAAGATTAAAATCTTTCGAAAAAACTTTAGCATTGCAAGCTGGGCCAAGGTCGAAAGGCGGTCACAAGCAGAGTTGAACGATAATAACCTTCAGTTAATCAGACCAGCCAAACCTGAGATAATCAAGATTTAAATAAATTTAAACACCCCCGCACAGGGACAATAGGACCAATAATATGGGGAGGAGGTCGAAGGAGGGAATGATCTGTCTCGTTCTACATATTTCTAGACAAAGCATTTTCGTATCCGTTCCTACGGAATGCAAAGCAAAGGTTCGCTGACGCGGAGGTATAGCTCAGTGGTAGAGCATTCGACCGCAGATCGAGCAGACCCCGGTTCAAACCCGGGAGTTTTCTTCTTCAGGGAAGTGAAGACAAAATTTCTTTTGAGGATTTTG